TTTATCAACGAGGTCATGGTCCTACCATGATGTTCCTCCCTTTACATAAGTTGGACTAACAAATTATCTATCAGTGCAATTCAGTGTGACCTCACCTTTTTCCTTCAGCCCTTAGGTTTATCCCTGCTAGCAGCAGCGACGGATGGATGACTTTTTTCTGTTACGATTTCGCTCGTTTCAGGCTCTTATCTTGCCAGCGTTGATCGATGTGGTAAAAAATTGGATTCCCGCAGCTGAACGGATGACCGTGTTTTTTATGGGAGTTTTCGGTATGAAGTTTTTTCCTCGCTTCTAACAAATTGATGACAAACTCTAATCAGAGTCATTATGCTATTCGCACTTCATTTAAATTTTACTGTTGGCAGGAGAGTAACATTTTTTAATGTGGAATATGGGTAATAACGTCCCTTACTGATTCCGGTTATTTTTGCATGTGCGGAGTCAGATACATCGGTAGACTATTACAGCAACACAGGTTCATTGCCACGTGAGAAGAAAATATGTTCGAATTGAATTGCATTGGTAACACAAGATGGCAAACCGCTCCTTGGCCTGCCTGCACCTTGGTCCCGTGATATGCGCCTCTGTTTTGTAAAGAGCCTCTGTCCTGACCAAGTTCCCGTATCACCGCAGCTGCAATCTCGTGATTTTCGGAGTTGACAACTCTGTATTCGTGGGCCATCAAGTAGACAGCAAGAATTTGCTAGAATGTGAAATGCGAAGGCGGTTTAAACCAGAGTATACCGCCTCGAAACATTGTTGCTTGAGAGCTAGCTGTTCATGTGAACAAGCACTTGTTCGATTCGATCTGTCCGCCACGCTAAACGACGCTGACTTCTGTTCCACTACCACTCTGACTATCTGAGGGAACGTGGACGAGATCAAAATCCACATGGGAGGAAGCAGTCGATCGCCCTGACGGAAATAAAACGAGGATGCGAAAGAAACTCCGCATATATGGTGAATATGGATCATATTGTTGACCGGAAAAACATGAAATGGGTATGACGCAGAAGAAGCTGCCGGAAGCGGAAGATTATAGAAGCAATCTTGACCCGGACATGCGAATATCTGAACGGAGACAACAGTGATTACTTGTCATCCGTTTGGGAATGGAAGCAATTAAAAAGTTGGCAAAGATGCCCAAAACGCTGATTTACATTCAAATCTATCAGCTTGAACTACATGCGTGCCAACGTTTCGTTGATTGACACTTTGAGATCATTCCATAGTATGCAATGACAGTGCTAACATTGTTTTACCACCTTTGTTACATGATGATCCCTGAAGATGGATCTTTCTCAATCCGATGCGAAACGTGGGAACTTTTAAAAAGGGAATTTGTTTTGCTTTCATCATGACACAACATAAGCTTTAAAACAAGTCTTATAGTGGATTCGCTTAAAGCTCCGCAGTGGATGCATGTCGTGACTCGGCTAGCGTTTAAAGCTGTCTTCGTCTAGAAGGAAGTTACTGTATTATTTGATTATTGTTATTGGAAGTCATCACTAAAAAAATCATTCCTCAATCTTGAAATATGTTGTAATATCTGCTTAATTTGGTCAGGCCATATTCTGCAAATTGCGTAGGCGGTGCGGAAGGATACCTTAGAATCTTATGTAGGCCGGGTGGCCCATTTTGCTGCGTTGGCACTTCTGCCACTCACTTGTAGCCTCCTTTGCAGGAGGCCTGTCGTATCAATCGATCGCGCGGCAATCGCAACGGGGATTAGTATCATTACGTAGCCCTCCCCGAAATTTTCGACCATCTGAACTGTCGATTATATGACATCTGCCAATCGAATGTGAAGTCGAGAACTTTGGCGGTTGGCGTTAATTCTTAAGGCTCTGGACACCTTCAGAGGTCTGATACGGTGGAAGTTGTCATAAATAGTTCGTTGTACACACAGTCTCTCTTGTATTTTCAGTCGTTTGATTTTTTGTATTCTTTTTTCGCTTTTTAATAGGTTTACTGTGCTTCATTTTTTGGAAACTTGCTGAAATGTTACTAGTTTCTACCT